GACAATGACGTAAAAACAATTTTGTCCGATAAAAATATAATAGTACAATATTTGTAAAGTAATGTACAATTGTGCATTATAGAAATACATACAAAAAATATTAATACCATAATGACCTAAATCATTCCAATAATGCAAAAACACAATTGAAATATTGAGTCTTGTTCCAAATAATCAAAAAAAGATTAATTAAACTAAAAAAAAAAAAATTCACCTACAATTTTTTTTTAAAAAAAAAAAATGCAGGAAAATGATTTTCAAGGTTTCTGAAATCATCTTTGATGCTCAGATCAACTTTGAATGCTATGTATTTAGTCGGGCTAATTATTTGACCAAAGTTTATGTTAAATTTTATATTGTAGATTTCTTAATACATTTTAACATATTCATAGTATATGTTTAACAATTATGTAACTCTGATTGGGATGCGATTCGAACCTAAGACTTTTCTTACAGAAATTAATAAGTTAAGAATAATAACTAGTTAACGGAATATTCCATTACTAGAGTATATACTAATGGACCCAACAGGGTACCTCAAGTGGCAAATGAGCTCTCTTTGTGTGGGAGAACTCTGGGATTACCCGGGTTCAATTCCCACAAGTGACGATTCCTTCTGTGCTTCTCGGAGCGAACCGGGTGGACCTGGATCGACATTGTGGTTTACATAAAAGAGTTTATACTAACAGAATGCAGTGTTATTAAATGGAAGAAAATAATATAATAGAGGGTAAATAAGAAAAATCATTAAATAAATACTCTCTGCCCCATTTTATGTGTCTTACTAAAATCAAAATAATATGAATTACACCAACATTTGTAGGTATGTATGTAGATGTATATACATACACGCCTCTTATATATATATATATATTTAAAAGTTACTGGCTCTATTACATTGTAGTATGTGTTCATATACTTTCTCAACCTACTGAAACACAAAGAACCAATAACGCCTCCACTGAGGCTCAAACTCATAATCTTCCAAATGAAAGTCCAACCCAGGTACCATTAGACCACATAGTCCTGGTATATATATATATACATATATATATATATATATATATATACATATATATATATATATATATATATATATATATATATATATATATATATATATATATATATATATGTTGATTTTCTTCCTAATCTCAATATATATATACCTACAAGGCTATTCATACACATATCTATATATTCCTAATCTCATATTTTCCTATCCCTATTATACTAGTCTACATAATTATATTTTTCCTCTATAAATATCCTCCATGAGTTAACCCTAGTCTCATTATATTTTTTCCCTCCTCTTCGACTTCTCTCTCTCTGTGTCGTTCCTCCCTCGCTCCCTATCAAGGTTGCAAAACTCGGCCGCCTAAGCACCGAGGCGCTAGGCGGCACCAAGACTTGCCGGTTTAGGGTGTAGGCAGCCATTCCTCGGCCGGCCGCCTAGCCGGACAACTCGGCCTACTCGACCTACTCGACCAACTTGGCTAAGCCATCCGATTTTGACCGATTTCGTCCAATTTTGACCGATTTTGTCTGATGTCGTGTTTCATTAATTATTAATTTTAATATTATTATGATATTATGACTTATAAATTATCATTACTTCATTTATTTGGCTGTCTTATCTGATTGAATGTTGAAAACAACCTCATTAAAATTGTCAAACGGCAAGTGTACCACTATTTATTTTGATTTTTTTGGTGCTCGCCTAGCGCCGCCTAGGCGCTGCCCGGCCGCTCGACTAGCGCCTAGCGCCTACTGCAACCATGCTCCCTATACACATAAAATAAAAAATAAAACCCTAGCTTTCCCCTTGTTTATCAAGGGTCTAGTCTCTTTTCTTGTCCAACTGAACATTAATCACAGAGGCTAGACCGGTGCTCACTGCGCACAAGGAGCCCCCCTCACTTTGAGAGGTTGCTCCTACACTGCCGCTAGTGAGACTCGATCCCTAGTCATTCTTCCAAAGTTTCACCTCTATGACCAGTTGAGCTACCCATGCAGGCTCTTTTCTTGTCATCATTGATTCAAGAATTAGCGGTCAAAGATCATTAATTCTAGGTGGTAAGTGTGTGTGGTAGATTTTGGGCTTTTGAGGTAAGTTTTATGTTCACCACTTTACTAAACTCCAAATTGATGCCCATGGTATTTGTGAAGTTTTATATAATTTTAAATAAATTTTTGAGTAAAAGACATTTTTGGTCCTAAACTTATAGTGGCACGAACAATTTCGGTCATCCATAAAAATCAGACAATTTGTGGACACTCTTATTGTGACGAGGACAATTTTGATCCTCCGTCACTCTTTCCGTTAGATACTCCGTTTGAGAAGGGGTATTTACGTCTTTTCATCATACCTCCTTCTTCATCATCATCTGCTCTGCTTCTTTACTTACACCAGTCACCCACCGCCGGAAATCCAAGGTCCAAAGTCATCGGAGATGCTGATGTTCGTCGCTGTTCAGTCTTTGCCAGATCCACTTAATGCTACTGAATGGAAGCCACTTCATCTCAAAGCAAGGGATAATGCTGATCAAGTAATATCACCTCACACCAGAAGAGACAAACCTATCAAACGTAGCAACAACAATGAAGAATGGTGAAGAAAATATACACATCCAACTAGATGCAGCTTGCAAAGGCTAGGCACTTAACTAGTTTTAGCTTTCAAATACTCATATACACAAACTAATCAATTCATTGTACCCCACTCTCCAGAGTCCCCTCATTCTATTCAGATAAATTCTAACATCTACGGCTCTGAGCTATACTGCTGCAAGCTTTATCATGTAACCTTGAATTGATAAAATGGAAAATTTTTAAAGGTTTCTTAAACAATAAATAGAAGATTTTTACCAGAATTCAATAAAATCAAAATTAAGGAGATCTCAACAGACCAAGGACAAGGATCTATTCATGGTTCCCAGGCACATCAAAGCTTGAAGAACCTAGTTAATCAGCAAAATACAAAAGAACTTCAACATCCGGCATTCCTAATCCAGAATATTCATCGGCAAACACTTGGAAGCCATATGTTCGCAACTAATTGTAACAACAGATCGTGACATTCCATCAGAATAATGAGTCAATCATCTGAAGTGTTTCCCAATCTTTCAGTACTTACAAAAATTCACCACCGCAATCGTAGAGACGCACATACAGAGAAGAAGAAATATGCTCTTCGTATACATCTAATATAGACACACATAAATATTATATACACTAATGGGAGCGCTGCAGGGAAATTACCTCGGTTCCTGATCGAATCGAGACCGGTGGCGTCTGGGATCAGAATCAGGCGTTCAAGCCGAGACATTACAGATCGGCGGCGATGACTGCCTACAATTACAAACTCAGTCTGCTGAAATGCTAACACTCCTCTGGGTAGTGTAGAGCCGAGATGGAGGGTATCCGGGCACCGGTACTAATACCAAAATTCAAGCCTTACCCACAGTAGCATCAAGTAGATCCGGCAAAGACTGAATATCAACGAACAGCAGCATCTCCGATGACCTTGGACCTTGGTTTTTCGGCTATGGGTGACTGGCGTAAGTAAAGAAGCAGAGTAGACGATGATGAAGAAGGAGGTATGATGAAAAGATGTAAATACCCCTTCTCAAACGGAGTATCTAACGGGAAGAGTGACGGGGGACCAAAATTGCCCTCGTCACAATAAGAGTGTCCACAAATTGTCTGATTTTTTTATGGAGGACCAAAATCACTACAAGAAAAACAACTTTTAACGGCAAAAAATTAGTGACGGGTAGAAAAACCCATCACTAAATGTATTATTTACACACTTTTTGTGAGAGTAAAAAATTACTGTAGCTAAAAGTTTATTATTTAGTGACAGAAATTTTTATTTTATATTTATTTTAAAAATATACTCTCACTATTGATTCTAAAGATGTTGTTACTCTCACTATTGATATCTGAGATTTATTTCACTCAAATTTACTTCCCACCAAAATTTACTTTTTGGGCGCCCTCAAGAGTCAAGTCGCCAAGACTCTTCTCGTTCTTCTAATATTCTCTTTGCGATGCTCTCCAGAAGCTCCGGAATCTTCACGGCTGGTGGTCGTTCAATCTGATAAGTTGCTGGTTATCAAATGCTCTCCAGAAGATCCGTGGCTGGGGATGACGGCAACGACGCTCCGCCTTCTGATCTGTTTCAAAGGCTCAAAGGTAACGATAGATTTTTTTCTTTTCTTTTGCTTTTTTTTTTTTCTTAAAATAGATCTCAGATTTGTCTTCTCCGCCTCCCAGCCGCAGTGCTACAAGCACCGTCGCCAGAATGTCGAGTTCCCAAAAATTATGACGAGGTTCTGACAATGAGTAATCCTCCCAGGTAAGGCTAGTGTCGAGTTTCCGAAAATTTCTTCGAATTTGGTGCTTTTGTTTTCGCATATGCCTAAGTCGATGGGTTGCTTATCTGAGTATATGAATCTGGGTGGGAATTCAGAAATGTTAAGGGATTTTGATGGATTTTTGGTCAAATTCCCCGAGTTGTTTTGTACTCTAACTCTCTAAGTCGATGGGTTGCCAAACAGAATTGCTTCACTTTTTAACTTGGAAAGCAACATATATGGGTCATCTATATATCTATATATCTCATAAAAACAAAACAAATGTCTGATGTAACCAAGGAGTCTGCTTTGTCTCGTTTCTCTTCTCTTTTCAGCTTTCCTCTATAAGTTATTGTTCCTACGATCCGCCTTAAAACCCTTGTGTGGTATCTTCTTGAAAGTTTGTTCTTTTTGGCAAATGGCAATCTCTAAATCTTCTGTGGATTTGGAATCAGGTAATTTTGACCTCCCCTCTGATTTTCTTCAAGTACTGTAATGCAATGTTAGATACACATCTCTACTTTTGCTGATATCATTTTCTGAGGCAGAGGTCAAGAATGGAGGCCAAAGCTCATGTCTTTTCGTCATCCTCGGAGGTAAAATTAAAAGCAGCATTAGTCAGTTTTATTAAGTTAGCTTTATGCTTTTTTCTTTTTTTCCAGTAATAACATATGACACTAGCAAAAGTAGTTCTTTAATCTTTGCTTGCATTTATGTTTTTGGTTGCTATTTCTTATTGCGTTCCACATTAATCTTTTATGATTTATATTACTTGTTGCTCTCTGATGATCTCCACACAGTGATCCTTGTGTGGAGCATTGCCTTTAGATTGTGGATGTTAATGTTCGAAAGAATTAGATATCTAATTGCCAACTTTTAAAACAGGAAATTTTGGAGTAATCTGCATATCTAATTGTCCCATTAATTGCCTATGTTTTTTCATATTACTAGATAGTACAAATGTAATCCTAGGGTAGAAGTTGTTGGGTCATGAATGAGATATTGCAAATATTTTGCAATCAAGGTCAATAATCATTAATATGCAGTACTGAGTCTCTTAAACAGTGTGTTCTGGTGCTTTGATATTCATACTGTTGAACTATCTTTAAAGTCAATGTGTGAGAAGTGAGTGGTCTAGTTGTACTTGTGAATGGCATCAAGGATTTGGTCATTGCATCCAAAGATCAAAGTTAGTGAACTATCAAGGTTTACACCCTCACTACCCCTCTCGAACAATCGAACCCTAAATTGGGGCAGCTTTCACTCACGCCCTCGCCAAGTTGTCGGCTCGCCACTCACCGCCTCACGCCCTCACCCATCTCAGTCCTCAGACTTGTTCCGATTTTAGGTTCTTCACTTCTTTTAAGTTCCAACTCTTAAGGGTAAGTTACAAATACTAATTTTATAATTTATATTTGAGTATCTGTAAATTGTAATTTGTTCACTTTGATAGTTTGATTTATATATAAAAAAATTCACACAGATTGGCAGATTGTTTATCAAGTGGCAGATTGGTATGTTTATTTAGTGGTGCGGCAGATTGGTACAATGTGGAACTGGGAAAGCATGTTTATTTTTTTTCCTATGAACTATGGTAGATTGGCAATTTGGCAATTTGGCTATGGCAGTATGGGCAATGGGCATATGGCTATGACTTTTATTTAGTACTTTAGTGTATGTTTGTGAAGACGGAGTAATTTATTTCCTTACTCTTGAGGCAGTCTCTTCATTTTATCTCTGTAGGTGCTTGCTCTTTTCTTTTATCTTTCCATTACGTGCTTGCAAAAATAATATGAATTTGTTTACTAGTGTTGTTACTGTTTAACAGAAATTTGACTAAGTTTTTGGTTCACTTCTCTGTATAGTTAATCTATTTCGCAATTGGATCAGATTCAGGGTGCTCAAGGTTTGAGGACGCTGAGGCAGCTCAAAAGGCACGAGCTTCTGCTGTGCTTGCTGCAGAAGGTGGTCTGGTGGTGAAGAATTTTATTGCTACTTTAGATCCTGTAACAGGTATTTTTGTGAGTGTGTTGTTGTTAGAGATAAGAGCTGTGAGGAAGAAACAACCAGAGAATTGAATTAAAAGAAACCAGGAAACAAGGATAAAATATCCTCCAGCAAGAAATAGTCTTGCCCAGCTGTAAGAAGCTCTTATTTTATGATTACTACTGCCTGCCTATTACTAAGGGGAACTCCTTTATTTATAATCTCATATATATGTTATAAAAGTAAACACCCTAAAATTCTCTCCTGATAATCTGCTGCAATCCCTGAAATCTGCTACAATCCCTTGACTCATGCCTTGTTTGTATTCTGGAAATCTGCTACTTGATTGGATGACTGATTCCCCTTTCCTTTTATTTCTTGATTTCTTTCCTTTCTTCTTGAGTAAACAATCCATTTGTTTGGTGCATTATCATTGCCACCCGCTCCTAAAGTAGCCTTGTCCCCAAGGCTAGACTTAGGAAATTGACCGTGAAAATCTGAACTATCCATCCAAGTCGCGTCATCCTGGGGCAGATTTTCCCATTGCACCAAAACTTGTGGTACCCCATTGTGGAGTCGAGTACCTAGAATATCCTTAGGAATATACCCTTGGTCTTCTACTACCATGTCTGCTGGAAGTTCAGTGATTGCAGGGTGGTGGCCCGTGACACACCTAAGTTGTGACACATGAAACACGGGATGTATTCTGGCTGAAGTTGGTAGTGCTAGCTTGTAAGCCACTGCACTTAGTTTCTTCTCAATAGTGTATGGCCCATAGTACCTTGGAGCGAGTTTCTGGTATATGCGACGTTGTACTGATGATTGGCGATGCGGCCGAAGTTTTAGTAAGACATTGTCACCTTCTTCGAACTGCATATCGCGTCGTTTAGTATTTGCCGCCTTTGTCATACGGCTTTGTGCTTGCCCCAAATTGTGATGAAGTTGTCTTAGAAGCTCATTTCTATCAATGTGTTCCTCAGCCACTGCTGCTACCTTGAATTCTCCTGGTAAGTACTGATGCAAAGTCGGAGGGGGTCGCCCATATACGGCAAGAAAATGTGACATCCCAACAGCCCCTTGAAACGAAGTATTGTACCAATACTCGGCCCAATGAAGATATCGTCCCCATTGTTTGGGTTGTTCAGAAGCAAAGCATCGCAAATATTGTTCTAGACAACGATTAAGGACCTCGGTCTGGCCATCTGTTTGCGGATGGTAAGCACTGCTCATTCGCAGCTTAGTTCCGAGCTTGGCAAAGAATTCCTTCCAGAAATTGCTTAAGAATACCGAGTCTCGATCACTTACTATGGATCGTGGTACTCCGTGTAGGCGAACAATCTCCTTCATAAAGATGTCAGCAAGTGATTTGGCGGTGAACGGGTGTCGTAGCCCCACAAAATGGGCATATTTAGTGAAGCGATCTATTATCACCCATATGCAATCCAGCCCATTTGATCGAGGTAGTCCGGTGATGAAATCCATAGCAATATCTTCCCAAGTTGCTGATGGTATAGGTAACGGATGGAGTAAGCCAGCAGGGGCCAAGGTGTCATACTTATTTTTCTGGCAACTGAGGCATTCTGCGACAAACTGCTGGACACGTCTCATCATTCCTTGCCAGTATACACTTGCAGCCAGTCTACGATAAGTGCGATAAGCTCCCGAGTGACCTCCTGTAGGTGTAGAATGGAATTCCTCCAATAGTTTTGGTATCCATGGCGAGGTAGCTGGTATGACAATGCGCCCTTTGTAAAACAACCGCCCATTAACAAGCTGAAATGGTGGCTGACTAGTGGGGTCTTGCTCCAATCGATCCCTAATGAGTTTTAAATTGGTATCCCGTGAAATTTCAGCCTCAAGGACATCCCAATCTAACCAAAAAGGTAAGGATACTGCCGATAACTCTAACTCTTCATGTTGTCGGGATAAAGCATCAGTCGCCTTGTTTGTTTTGCCAGGCTTGTAAGCGATCTCAAAGTCATAACCCATTAGCTTGGCTACCCAATTTTGTTGTGATGGGGTGGTAACTCGTTGTTGCATGAGGTGGCGTAAACTACTATGATCAGTGCGAACCACAAACTTTCTTCCGCCAAGATATGGTCTCCAATGTTGAATGGCTAAGACTAGTGCCATCAGTTCCTTCTCATAAGCTGATTTTGCCAAGGTTCGACCCGAGAGGGCCTTGCTAAAGTATGCTATCGGACGTGCTTCTTGCATAAGAACAGCACCCACACCTGTCCCTGAAGCATCGCACTCAATAATGAAGGTTTGTGAAAAATCTGGTGTTGCTAGGACTGGTGCAGAAGTCATAGCAGCCTTCAACGCATCAAAGGCAATTTGCGCCTTATTGCGCCAATGAAATTTGTCTGCCATATCCTTCTTGAGAAGTGCAGTTAACGGCTGAGCTATATTCCCATAGTTTTGTATGAAGCGACGGTAGTAGCCTGTGAGACCCAAGAATCCCCGAACAGCCTTTGTGGATTTAGGTTGAGGCCAACGCAGCACGCAGGATATTTTTGCTGGATCCATAGCCACCCCATATTGTGAAACAATGTGCCCCAAGTATTCCACTGTCGTCCGACCAAATTGGCATTTCTTTTCATTTGCTTTAAACCGGTGGGCAGATAGTATTCCCAGCACCCTTGACAGATGATTCAGGTGATGCTTCCAAGTAGTGCTATATATTAGTATATCGTCGAAAAATACCAACACAAATTGTCGAAGGAGGGGACGGAAGATGTCATTCATAATTGCTTGAAAGGTGGCTGGTGCGTTTGTCAATCCAAATGGCATTACCAAAAATTCATAGTGCCCGGAGTGCGTTCGGAAAGCAGTTTTAGCCACATCTTGTGTAGCAACCTTAATCTGATGGTACCCGGAACGGAGATCAATTTTGGAGAAGTATCGAGCACCATGAAGTTCATCTAGCATTTCCTGTATGACCGGAATTGGGAATTTGTTTGCTACCGTTACCTTATTGAGCTCTCGGTAGTCGACGCAAAATCGTCAACTACCGTCTTTCTTTTTCACCAATAACACCGGGCTAGAAAATGGACTGGAACTAGGTTGAATAATTCCTGCTGCAAGCATTTCACCAACCATTCGTTCTATTTCGTCTTTCTGATGATGACCATAGCGGTAAGGCTTAACACTTACTGGAGTTGTTCCTGTCTTCAAAACAATCTGATGATCATTAGCCCGAGAAGGAGGTAAACCCTGCGGATCACCGAAAACTTGGCAGTGCTGCTGCAATAAATTACGAAGTTGAGAGTGTTGGGAATTAGAAATCTCTATATCATCATTGTTCGATGAAGGCAGAGTAGTAATCTCCCACAATATACAACTGAAATCAACATCGCTTGGGTTCTCCAATGCATTGACAGAGACAGGAAGTCGAGATAAAGACGGGTCCCCACTAAGCTGTATAAGGCGATCCCCAACTTTGAAAGTCATAGTCATTCTTGCCCAATTTGCTTTGATATTGCCCAGAGTTTCTAGCCATGCGACTCCAAGGATCATATCAACACCTCCTAATGGGAAGACAAAGCAATCCAATGTCATTGTGACAGGACCCAAATTAATTGGTAACTGTAAATATTTGCCTTTGGATTCAACCCGACGACCATCCCCTAACTTGACTCCAAATTGTTGTGTGGGTTCCAATGGATACTGCAACTTGGTAGATAAATTATGAGAGATGAAGTTGTGGCTAGCACCGCTGTCCACCATAATGATGACCTCTGTACTTGCAACTTGGCCTCTAAACTTCATGGTTTTTGGGCCATCGATTCCTCCAAGGGCTGTCAATGGAAGGTCCAAAAATGAATATTGCACTGTATCTGGTTGCAAGTGCTCTGAGTCGATGCGTTCCAATTCGGATGGTTCTTCACCTGCATCATCCCCCTCATCTTCTGCTGCAATGAGAGTTCGTAGAGACTTATTCGGACATACATGCATCGGACTGTAGGGTTGCTGACAACGAAAGCAGAGACCTTGTTTCTCATATCCATATACTCGCGGTGGGAGAATTGGCGAGCCTGCTTCTGTGGTGTATTCATACTGGAATTTCGAATAGGATGAACAAAAGAGCGTGTTTGGGAATTATATGAAGTGGTGTGATTTTTTTCTGATTGGTGAGGGTTGTTTGATAATGGCTTGGGCGTAGGATGAGGAGATACATAAGAATGGGCTGAAGAATGTTTAGTAGGCCCAGAAGACCATCCAATCCCAGCAGAAGTCTTCTTCTTATAAGAATTGTCATCTTCATCAACCACTCGTCCCGGAATACGACCAGAAGAGAGGAACTCCAATTCACGTTCCACAGCACGTGCAACCCTTATTGCTGTACGTAAATCTGTCACATCGTTTGGTCGGAGGCGCACACAGATTGCCGGCTTCAGTCCATTGAGGAACAACCCTAGCTGAATTTGAGGCGCTAAACCTGGAATTTGGGCAACACGGGCTCTAAATATATTAGCAAAGTCGTCTACAGTACCAATTTGGCGAAGCGCGGCCAATTGTTCAATCGGAGGCCCGGAAAGTTCACCACCGAATTCTTCCAAAAGCTCTGTTGTAAACTGACTCCACGTGAGAGATGGATGTTGCTGTTGAAGCCAACGGAGCCAATGAAGTGCTGGTCCTTCCATACTGATGAAAGCTGTTGGCACTTTCAAATCCTCACGGGTGCATTGAATGGCAAAGTACTGATCTGCCCGTGCTAGCCATCCCACCGGATCTGTGCCATCAAATGTTGGAATCTCCAACCGGCCAGGCTGCAGCGAAGGAATGACCGAAGGAACCTGGTGCAATGGTACCGGTGCAGAATCGATATTATCTGAAGAGGAATTTCCGCCCGCAGCAACCACAGGAGAAACACTAGATTCTACTGACCTTTTCCCATGTAGTGAAAAGAGTAGCTCGGACATCTTGGCAAGCGTACCTTCTATCCCATCCATACGATCTTTTATTTCAGAATGCATTACCTCCATCTCTGTATGCATTTCCTCCTGGCTCTTCTCTAATGAGTCAACACGAGCATCCATTCGTGTGTTGGTCATTGCACGGCAGGTCGGACCAATTTGTTAGAGATAAGAGCTGTGAGGAAGAAACAACCAGAGAATTGAATTAAAAGAAACCAGGAAACAAGGATAAAATATCCTCCAGCAAGAAATAGTCTTGCCCAGCTGTAAGAAGCTCTTATTTTATGATTACTACTGCCTGCCTATTACTAAGGGGAACTCCTTTATTTATAATCTCATATATATGTTATAAAAGTAAACACCCTAAAATTCTCTCCTGATAATCTGCTGCAATCCCTGAAATCTGCTACAATCCCTTGACTCATGCCTTGTTTGTATTCTGGAAATCTGCTACTTGATTGGATGACTGATTCCCTTTCCTTTTATTTCTTGATTTCTTTCCTTTCTTCTTGAGTAAACAATCCATTTGTTTGGTGCGTTATCAGTTGTCTTTGTCAATTTTTTTTGAGGCATGATGGTATGACTTTCTAATGCTCAGTGTTAATGGTTCTTTTTCTCTGTCTTGTGAACTAAGATCATGGACCATTCAATTTATATTTGACTTTGTTTCCCCGAATATGTATATAATGTCACTAAACTCTTGAAATAATCAAGAAAGAATAGGGCGATGTACACACAAAATAGTTCTATTGCAATATGTATTATCATTATATGATTATTATTAAGCTTAACATAATTTTTTTGTTTAATCATATGTCATAGTAGATGTCACCTTCCTGCTTTCTCCTTGCTTTGTTACAAATATTTGATAGATCGTTTGATGAATTCTAAGCTTGGAAATTTTATGTCTTAAGTTTACACTAAAACATTTTGGGATTTTATTGGCAGTCAACAAACAGGGGCTTGTGATTCCGAAGCTGGGAGTGAGATGATAAGCAGGGGTTTGAGCTCACCACTGATCTTGCATGACTTGAGCAAAATTAGTTCAAATGCAAAAGACTTTTGGCAAAATAGCTAGCCAACATATACATTACTATGACTATTTGTTATAATTAGTTTCTTTGTCTTTAATCTTTACAAAGTTGTATGAAACATTTTATTTTGGTAGTGATGATGAAGTCTTTTAATATATTGATTGAGTCTACTTTTATTGCATTATGTACCAATACAATATTTATAGTTATAACATAACATAATATCGATTAGTGAGAAAAAATGTATTACAAAAATTAATATTTAATGAGAAGTAACAATATATATAAATAAAAAAATAATATTTGTTATTAAATATTAATATTAATGACGGTATTTTCCATCGTTACAAGAATATAATGAGAGGAAATTATGCTAGTTAGTAGTTGTATCAGTGACGGGAATTTTTGTCGTAAAAAGAACGTTTTAGTGACGGTAAATACACTATCACTAAATTGCTTATTAATGATGGTATCATATCCCGTCGCTATTTGTTTTTATCTACGGAAGAAATAACGACGGGTGGTGACGGTAAATTTCCCGTCATTAAAAGTCTTTTATGATGGTTTTTGAATTTTTAGTGACGGTTTTGACTCTCACTAATGAGCAATTTTCTTGTAGTGAATTGTCCGTGCCACTATAAGTCTAGGACAAAAAATGTCTTTTACTTTAAATTTTCTTAAATTACTGTGGTGATAATATTGTTGATTTTATCAATGCGTAAAAGAAAACCTGAGCATCTGCTATTTTAATTATATACTCCATCTGTCCCATTTTATCTGTCCTACTTATTATTTATTGGTCAACACAATTCTTTATTCTTTGTTTATTTTCTTTAGTATTTTTTGTAACATTTCCATTATGTCATCATTAAGTGGTGCAAGTTAATAGGCCATTTATGGCCATAATGTTGTGGTTTGAAATGGAAGTAACGGTTTCCGTTACTTAACCTATAATGATGGCACGTAGGTTATATATATGTGTATGGTCCTCCCACTGCTCCTGTGACTTGACACTACACCATCTAATTGTACAGGAGATCAAGTGGTAGACAGAATCCCAAAATTCTTTACTGTTCTTCAAACAATGTAACAAAGATTACAACTATGGCTGGAGATATTGTTCTGTGTATTTCTAACATTTGGTATCAGAGCCTGTATTGATCTCTGCCTAGTTGATTAGTTTGAATGCGTATGCAATTTGAATTTGATAGTTCTGGGCATACATATATCCATGATTTGCTGTTTGTATATATATCTCGACATATGTACAAGACAATTATGCAGAAACCTTTTTGGAAAACATTAAGCTACTCTGTTACAATTTGAGTGTTATAAATTGTTTTTCGAAATTATAAACATTAAGCTACTCTGTTCATAAACGTATACATAATGTGTGTTTGTTGAGAGTGATTTTGCCTTGTAAGTACATTACTATGCATGTTTGGAGCCAAAATATATATTTCTGTGTATTTTTGTTTTTGAATATCAATATACCTGTTTATATTTTTGTTCTTGTGTGGATGAGTTGTCCTTTTTTTGTTTTCCGCTATGAGCATCGTGGGATGACTGCGATCGGCGATTTGACGGCGCAGTGAGGCGGGAGAAGATGGGTTGCGGATGTCTTTTTTTCGCCGTTGCAACCTTCCAACCAGCTGTGTGAGACGCCGAGGTTTCGTCCTCACCTTTCGGGCGACGACGAAAGGGATCCGAGGCGTTGCGGCGTAGGACGACGACGGCGCGACTTGGAATCGCAGGCGATGCTGTCGTTGCGACCAGAAGAGACGGTGGGGCGAGGCTGGGCTTCCCAGCGCGTCCTGCTTCATCAAGCTCCAGTCGACGATGGCGGGCGACGGGGACAGAGGATGGCGTCGATGACGGCGGACGGTGGATGGTGGCAGCGCTGGGTCGCGGCTGAGGGTGGTTGACGTTGCAGTCAGGTGCGGTGATGGCGTCACGATTGAGGACGACGGCGAAGCGGGCGAGCCTACTTTCTCGGCGATGCTGCTTCTGTTTCATCTCGGCGCCGCACTGGAGGAGAATTCTCAATACTTCTTGTTTGAGAAAGGAGGAAAAAGGAATGGGTAGGGCTTATGCCCAAACCCGAATGACCCATATTAGTTCTTTTATTCACTGTGAGTCCTTTTTTAGTTATTTTGGGCCTGCTTATTTTTCCCCAATAGTTCCTTTATTTCATTCACAGTGAGTGGGAGATTCACTATGAACCAGGTTCACTAAAAATGAACATGATCCATTGAGGCCCACAGGCAAGTTGCTGCATAATTCTTCCAAAGGCTGAACTCCAACCCTAAGGACCCCTCACACTCCGACCAGACAGAGCATTTGGGAGGCAAGTTGCTACATAATTGAGTCTATGCACGTAGGTTATATACACAGGCAAATGATGATAAAAACTAAAGACCCAAATGAATTATTTCCTCTCTTATTCATTACTAAAGGAGTTAATACCCAAAATCGTCCTCGACTATAGTGGTTTTTCTCAATTTCGTCCTAAACGACTTTGGTAACCTAATATCGTCCCAGACTTTTGTGTTTCGCTCAATTTAGTCCCAGACTTTTGTGTTTTTGCTCAATTTAGTCCCTCATTTGTTATTGTGTCCATTTGGTGTTAAATAAATAGACAATTCAGTAATTTTAATATTGGCATCTCTTTACTCATAGACATGTGAACTGCGAAATCTCTTTTTTTTTTTTTTTTTACGAATTACTCCCAGAATTACTCCTAAAACTGCGAATATAAAATTTGATTGCAGGCCCGGGAGTAATTCTGGGTGTAATTCGTACAAGAAAGAGGAATTTCGCACTTCACAAGTTGAAAGTAAAGAGAGATCAATATTGACATTATTGAATTGTCCCTTTATTTAACACCAATTTGACGGAATAAGAAATGGAGGACTAAATTGAGCGAAACACAAAAGTCTGGGACGATATTAGGTCACCAAAGTCGTTTATGACGAAATTGAGAAAAACCACTATAGTCGAGGACGATTTTGGGTATTAACTCATTACTAAAGTATCATTCAACTTTGGCAAATATTAAGTTTTAAATTTGCTACTTGAATTTTAATTTAATATATTGAGAGTTGTCTTAAATTGCCTAAAGTGTTTGCATTTTTTTTAGTATTTATGAGTTAATATTATGTTAATACGCAAAATCCAAGCATGCTTTGTATATTCATAAATTATTTTGTTATAATTGTACATTTAGAAAAGCATATTTAGATTGGATATAACATATTATTAACTCATAGTCTTTTGTATTCAATTTTGGATCCTTAAACTAATTTTGGATTTTATAGCCTATTTAGAAAGCTTGTTTGATTTCTCATTCAATTTTGAGCATTTTTTAGTCCTAATTTCACTTGGAGCTTTAAAACTTTATTTTGAACAAGCTATTTGGGACCTATCTTGGGTATATTAAGTTTTTAAAAGGTTTCCGAAAATGGTTTAAAATAGCAGTTTCAGCAATTGATTTTCCATGTTAAATCACCTAATTATTTTAATATTATGGCTATTAATTGCAATTTTTGAATTTTGTAATTTTGTCATAATTTGATAATATCCTTAACTATGGTTTGTGATTCTGTATCACAATTTGGAAAATGCATATGCTTATGGCTATTGGATATTATTTTCTATTTCAGTCTTGCCATAATATTTTTTTGATTATGATATTAAGAATCATATTTTGAAATTCATTTGAATTTGCTTGTCCAAAACTTTTATATAGTAATAATTATGATATTATGTAACATTTAATAATAATGATGATCATTATTATAATTAAATGTTAATCGGTTACAATTAAGAGAATTGATTATTCCGTTATTACTGTTATGTAATAATTATTAGAATTATTATAATAATAACGATTATTGATTTTTGAACCGATGGACCAATGCTTTGTGCCGTTACTATCATCATTTATTTTGGATTTTGATAGTATGATTTGTAATCATAATTTTGAAACCATTTCATTCTTGATCCAAAATATATATGTGTTAATAATGATAATATCATTTTATAGTCATTACTATTAAATGTCAGAGGTTACGATTGAGGAAATTGATT